CCCCCCCGTCCTTGAAAGAACGCGGCGCGTGCGTCAATCTTCAATCTGCTCCTGCTGCAGCGCCGCAGGCAAACTGTCGGCAATCGTCAACAGCGCGCCCTTATTTCGCACTTGCGTGCTCCAGGAAAGCGCCTCCATCAATCCGGGCAGAACACGCGCCGACTCTGCCTCGTCGCCCAGAAGCACGGCGGCGCCGCGCGCAGCCGCTGCGGCGTCGCCACCCCGTTCCACGGACATCGCATCGGCAGACTCGCGCCTGCGGTACGCGGCTACAGATTCTTCTGGACGCTCCTGCGCGACGACGAATAGGTCGCGCAGCCGCGGCACTTTCGACCGCGCCAACGTGCACTCGTGCAGCGTGCGTCCGGTAGCCAGTCGCTCCTCCAGCGTTTACGGACGTTGCAACATCATGCGCATGACGTCAATGCCGCAGTCCCCACCCACCACTGCGCCTAGAACTGCCGCACCTTTCTCTGCATAGAAGAGGTCGAGGGCGGCGCTGCCGCCGCGGCGGCTGCCTTCTCCCGTCGCGATGGAAGCCGCCCAATGGCGCACTGTGTGCAGGGGGTGCTCTTCCCAGACCGGCAGGAGCTGGAAGTTCCCCCCCGCCAGTGCGGGTGAGTTGTCGCCCGCGCATGCGATGCCGTCCACTGCGGCAGGGAAAACGCACTTCTCCTGCGCCGACGCCGCGCACGCTGCCACGATGTCCTCGGCCGACGCTCGTGGACCAGCGCGAATCGGACAAAGGCGCTGTGGCCGATGCAGCTGCGCCCCCGCAAAATTTCCCGCGCGAGCGCGACCGCCCTGTGCGGCACCTGGGCCGCTGGCGCCGCTTCCAGCTCGATTTCGGCCGCGGGCGGGATCGCTGCCATTGCGGCCGTTGCTCCTGGGGCAGGGGGGCGGCGGCGGGATTAACCGCAGGCGAGGTGGTGCGATTATCGGCCCATCGAAAACCGCGCTGCCCGAAGGACCTTCCGGGCCAACGTCGCCCGCCATTATTTCGGCGCCAGGCGGGGCCATGCCGAGACCTTCGGGCTCCGCCAGATCTGCGGGCACATCCCCGGCCTCCGACAGCTGTTCCGGGATTCCGGGCGGTTCCCCCGAAGACCCTTCCAGAAACATCAAGGGTTCACGTGGCCCCCCTGGGGGCGCCGCAACTATGGGTGGCGGCGGGGCCCCCGGGAGACCCGCCGACGGCTCCCCGTGGCCCTCCGACCCCTCCACGAAACGGTGCCGCCACTACGGGCTCGGCGAATTCAGTCGGCAGCTCCTCCTGGGGAGGCGCTCTGGACGGCGGAGGGGGCGGGGGCGGAGCTGCCGCCTGCTGCCCTTCACTTCCTGCGACGGGGGTCGCGGCCGCACTTGCGCATGCGGGGGGCCTCCTGTTGCTGGGCTGGAGATGGTAATCTGAAGGGCCATGCGCCCCACATTGGCGCGCGGGCCATTTTGCTCGGCGCGGTTCGTCACCGCGCGCGCGGACACGCGCGAGACCCGAGCAACCCTCGGCATCGATCTCTCCGCCACTACGGGCTTCTATCTGGCCCCAACCAGTCTTCCCGTACTGGCTCTTCCGATCTGATATGGGGAAATGATCACTAACAGCGACATCAGAGATTTGGTCTGAGTTTCATCAATAATGGACGCGCATGCCAGGTGCAGGCGCCGACGAGGCAAGGGCCGACAAACGTAACGATTAGCAACACCGTGGAGGATAATGAGACGAGGACACGCTGACGACGCCGAGCAAGAGAGAAGCGTCATGGCCAGCAAAGTGGCAATGCAAACGCAACGCAAAGTGACAACGCAAGCGCAACGGTTAGGTATGGATCCCTTCCCCGGGAGACTTGGTCAGCAGCACCCCCCTTCCCCACGAGACATGCTCCAATGTCTTCCTTACTTCCGTTTTTGGATTAGGCGAAACAAGCTGCACGCAAAACACATGTCATACGCCCCTTTCGCACCCGCTTATTACGCGAGCCTCATAACACCCCGGGCGCCAAATTTAATGCATATGCTCGGGCCTCCTGATGGGGCCCGACATTGCTCATGTCCACCGCCTCCCGGGGTCCTGGGAGATCGGTCGTCAAAATGGTGGATAGGAGTGTAAACCCAGGGCTCGGAACAACGGCGCGGAGAAGGTGTGTGGGGAAGGGGGGGGGTCGAGGATCTGCAGGTATCTCCAGCGAGGGCTCAAAAGACCTGCGGGGGCGTTGGTGGGGCGAGGGGAAGATTCGATGTCAGACGCTGTTTGTGTCGCTTCGAATTATGTTCGGACTTCCTGCGTCGCCCCTTTCGCCGCGGCTGGCTTCCATGTGACATTCTGGCCAGGAAGCACCCCTGGACAGGTAGTGGCGGGCGATTTGGATCCCTGGACCTGGGGGCGTGGTGGGGAAGGGAGGGCAACGAACGCAGGGGAGTGGGAGGGGGAGGGAATGACGGGGGGGAATAGGGGGGAGGAGGAGCGAACAGGAGCAGGAGGAGGAGACGGAGACACGGGGAGGAGGGGGGGGTGGGGACGGGTGGGCGGGGAGGAAGGGAGATGAGCAGGAGGGGGGTGGCAGGAGGAACGAGGAGGAGCAGGAGAAGGAGGGATAGAGGTAGAGGGGGGGGGGGGCGAGGAGGGAGGAGGATGGGGGCAGGAGAAGGGAAGAGGATGGGGGCGAGGGGGGAGGAAGGAGCGTTCGCCACAAGTGGAGGAACCGTGCGCCCGCTCTGCGCTCGTGCGCCCGAAGAAGACCACCGCACCCAGGCGAGTGCGGCCCAGGCCGGGAACGAAGCGCCCACGGCGAGACGACGCCGTGCGCACCCTCAGGTCCCAGAGCGTGTGTGCTCGGGGGCAGAGGTTTGACGTCGGCGCACTTCTGAAGGACGCCGGCGGGGAGCACATTTGGTTCCTGGCCCTTCTGGGCCCTCCGAACTGGCTGAAGACAGCGTGCTCTCTCTCTCTCTCTCTCTCAGCGTGGACTCTCGAGTACCCCGAATGCAGCGCATCTCGGCCGACATTCCTGCTCCCACCCATGTGTCTTGCGTGTTCCTGGATCTAGAGTCTAGCAGACAGATGGGCAGAACCTGCTTGGATGTCAGAGTCGCTGCTGTGTTGGCATGGGCCATGACCTGGAGAGCTTGGGCCGAATTTCTGCCAATGCCTTGCACGAGTTGCAGACGCCGCCGAAACTCGAACATACTGACACAAATACTGGACCAACACAGCACTTACGCATACAATATCGTAGTGGCCTGCGCATCCTTGCGACATGTGCGCACATGCGGACACCCACGCACATACGTTCGTAGCTCGTCAGCGCGCTTGTAGTTACACCAGTGCCCCATACGCACAGCAATGGGCCACTGCGGCAAGGGTGGGGAACTGAATGCTCAATCCTTCGACTTCTCCTCTCCACCTCCTTCCCCCCTCCATCTCCCTCTCGTTGTGCAATCCCCTCACTCCCTCTTCCTCTTTGCCACCCCTCCCCCTGTCCCACAGCCTCTCACCGATGGTGAGTATGAGGCTGCTGGTAAGAAGGACTACGAGGACAAGAGGAAAAACAGGCAAAGGGCAGCAGGGGAGGAGTGGACGGAGCAGGAGCAACTGCAGGCAGAAGTAAGCAGGGGACCAACAACGTCCAGCCGTCCTTGCTTGGAAGAACTACACGCGTATGATGCGCATGTTGGGTGCATGCGCTGCTTCCTCCTCTCCACTGCTCCTCCTGATTCCTTCCTCGCCCATCCTCCAAATCAGCTCCTCGTCCGTCCTCCTTTTGCCCCCGTCCTCTTGCTTCTGGCCGTGCCCCTTCCGCCCTCCTCCCCGCTCCATCCTCCGCGCTCCCGTCTACATCCCGCCCCCTGCCTCCTGCTCTCTCTCTTTCTCTCCCCCTCTGTTTGTTGGTTTCTCTCTCTCTCTCTCTCTTCCCCTCCATATCGCATCCCTATTCCCTCCTCTCTTCACTTCTTTCTCCTCCCTCGTCCTCCACCTCCCTCCTCCGTCCCATCCAGTACTCTCTCCTCCCTGCGCAACGTCAAGCCGGCGCCGCCGGCTTTGGCGACGTGGCGCGCCGATTTTGAACTGACGCTGTGCCCCTTGGCGAATCCACGCGCCTTAATCCATGCTTGCGCTTCCTCCTCGATCCTCCGCCTCCTGCTCCTCCCCCCCTCCACCCCGCCTCGTCCCCACCCCCCCACTCCCCCCTCGCCCCTGACCCTCCCCCCCTCGGCCAGGCCCAGCTCAGGGGGCCTCGGGGAGCTTGCAGGGAACCGATTCCTAGGAAGCGCCGCGAGCACCTGGACAGGATATCTCGCGGCTCTCGCGGCTCAAAGGGTCGTCGTCTCAGTTTCGCGCATCTCATATCACACCAGCGATTGCGGTATACTCTTTCAGAAGAAGAACACGATACTTTTGGCGCTCTGCGCGGATTTCCTGGATCTGCGCCGGGCCCCCTCCCTGGCGCGCTCCGCGCGCCAAGGGCGGCGCAGGAGGCGCCGCTGGGGGGGCCCAGCGCGGATCCAAGAAATCCGCGCGGAGGGCCAACAGTTTATGTATATGGCGTTTTTTTTTCTTCGAGGTCTACTCCTTGCAATCATTGCCCAAACCCCCAAATGGTCCAACAGAGTCAAACAAATACCTCCAAGTGGCCAAACAATAATAGGAACATCGCCCCTGGCTGTTTATGACTGCTTTTGAAGCTTCCTCCTGTAGGGAGACACGCCCGACTTAAAATGCACTCCTTGCAATTCGGGTCGGGCGAAAGGGGGGGATAGCAAAGGGGGGGGGTCAGAACCAGCTCGCGTAGCCGATTTTCCCGGCGCCTCCCGGCGCCGGAAAATCAACGCCCATGTGTCGAGGAATGGGCCCCTCGGCGAGGCCGAAACCAGCTGCATGCAGCAAATTTCGTAACCCCCCCTTTCCCGATCCCCCCCTTTCGTCCGGCCCGAGCAGTCCCTGCCCCCCCCCCCCCCGAGCCGACCGCGGCGCCGAGGGCCCGCCCCCGCGCGTGCGCGGAGGCCTCGGCGTCCGCGCCCCCGCCGTCGGCCACCTCCTGAGGCCGCTCTCGGGGGGGGAGGCGCCGCGAGGAGGGCCACGGGGGGGGGAGGAAAGGCTGGGCAGGGGATGGGAGAAGGGGCCTCCTGGGGAGAGAGGAGAAGGGGAGGGGGGGAGCGGGGAGGAGGGGGAGGGGAGGGGGAAGGGGAAAGGGGAAAGGGGGAGGGGAGGGGGAGGGGGGGGAGGAGAGCAGGATGAGGAGGAGGAGGAGGAGGAGGAGGAGGAGGAGGAGAGGAGGAGGAGAGGAGGAGGCGAAAGGGGAGGGGAGGGGGAGGGGCCTTGAGGAGGGAAAGGGGAGGGGAGGGGGGGGAGGGAAGCGAGGAGAAGGGCCTTGAGGCCATTCTGCTGCTCCCGCGGGGCTGGCAGCTGCGAGGAGAAGGGCCTTGAGGCCATTCTGCTGCTCCCGCGGGGCTGGCAGCTGCACACAAACAACGCGAGACCCCCCCCCCCCTGTAAGCTGGGCGCCGATGCCTCCGCCGGCCCGACACGGCTCCGTGCCGCGCCCGAGGGGAGGACGGGAGGAGCAGGGGGAGGAGGGAGGGAGGGAGGGAGGACTAGCACGACGAAAACGTGATGAGGAACATCCTGAAGGCCTCGCGCGGCAACCCGAGACCCATCCTGCGTCGGAGCCTCGTCGGATTTACGCCGGGCTCGCGTCGGATGTACGTAGGGTTCACACGTCGGACTTACGCCGGAGCGTCGCTGCGCGGACGCTGCTCGATATCTGACGGGACGCACTTGCGGACTGGAGGACACCTGCGCGCCGCGCGAGGCCCCCAAGATTGTCCTCAGAGGAGGCTGGAGGCAGGCTGCAGCCGGTCGACTGGCCAGCCGAGGACCTCGACCGACTCAGTCCGCTGAGCTCTGCGGTGAGGGGAGAGGGGTGGCGCTGCGGGGGGCGAGGGCAGCAGCGGCAGCCCCCGGCCCAGAGACGCGGGCTGCTCGACAGCCCACTGGCCGCACGCGCCAAGCGACCACTCCACATCCGCCAGGTCGCTCTTCGGGGATAGCCTGACCCAGGTGCCTCCAAACCCATGCCAATCGGGCCTTGCAGGATCCTGCGGAAGCCTGCACGCAGACCCGGGTCGGTGCACCCCCGGCCCTGCAGGATCCTGCGAGACCCAGCGCTGTGCCCGACACCAGGTTGCATTGGGCCCCGTCGCTTGAGCCCCGAGCTCTCCTCCTCTTCTGGCAGCCCCTGGGGCCCGACGCGGGCTCCCCGGAGGCCCGAGCTCGCGAGACGGTTCGGCGTGAGAGTCCCGCCGTGGAGTCAGAGGTCTGGGCCCTCCCCCGCGGAGTCGGCACAGAGAGCTGCTCCAGGGCGCCCTCCAACCACAACTTCAAGGCGGATGCAGCCCACCATGAGTCAATGAGGCACTGAAGTGATGGACGCGCCCCTAAAAAAAATCAGGGTCCTGGTAGAGCGGGTCCTTACTCTGGGGCTGTCCCTGGGACCAGCTTTTCATCCTGAATCGTTCTCTGGCGATCCCGGGGCCCAGGAAGGTCCCCCTGCGGCCGGAAACGCGGCTGCCCACCTCCTCCTCGCCCTGAGTCCTGGTCAGCCTACACGTGGACGGGCGGGCTGCGAACGGCCCCTTCCCTCCGAGGACACGGCGACGACGACGAAGGCGACGGCGACGGCGACGACGGCGACGACGACAGAGACGACGACGACGACGACGACGACGACGACGACGACGACGACGACGACGACGACGACGACGACGACGACACCTGCGACGGCCCCTAGCTAGTGGGCCTCGGCGGGCTCGAGCCGGCCGCAGCGCACCGCGGTCCGGAGCGCGCTGGGCGGAGGGTGGCGCTCTCCTCCTCCAGCGCCAGCGGGCGCCGGGCGCCGGGCCCCTCGAGCAGCGCCTGTGGCGGCCGCCGCATCCAGGCGACAGCGCCGACGCCGACGCCGACGCCGACGCCGACGCCGACGCCGACGCCGACGCAGACGTCGACGTCGACGCCGACGACGGCGGCGGCGGCGGCGGCGGCGGCGACGACGACGACGACGACGACGACGACGACGACGACGACGACGACGACGACGACGACGACGGCGCCGGCGGCGGCGGCGGCGGCAGCGACGGCGACGACGACGACGGCGGTGGCGGCGGCGGCGGCGACGGCTGCGACGACAACGGGCGGCTACGCTGGAAATCCGGCGTGGCAAACCAAAGTGTCGCATCGATGAGCATCACGACCGGGACCCCAGGCCCAAACCTTCCGCGCCCCCTCTCGAGCCACACGTCCAGGTGCGAGGCCCCAGGGGCCCGACGGCGGGCGAGCACGCCCGTGGCGAAAAAAGAGTGGCGTCGCCCGGATCTGAGGAGCAGCGGCGGCGGCGACAACGGCGGCGGCTGCGGCGATGCCGACGGCGGCGGCCGCGGCGGCGGCGGCGCCCCGAGCGGCCGGGCCTGCCGCGGCGCCGCCAGCGCGGCCAGCACGGCCAGCGAGCCCGCCGCCGCCGCGAGCCCCGCCGCGAGTGCTGCCGCCGCGGCCCGCGGGGCTCCGCGGGGGGCGGCGGGGCCCAGGGGCTCGTAGGGCCTCCGGGGGCGGTGGCTGCGGCGGCGGCGGCGGCGGCGGCGGCGGCGGCGGCGGCGTCGTCGTCGTCGTCGTCGTCGTCGTCGTCGTCGTCGTCGTCGTCGTCGTCGTCGTCGTCGTCGTCGTCGGCGTCGGCGTCGGCGTCGGCGTCGGCGTCGTCGTCGTCGTCGTCGGCGTCGGCGTCGTCGTCGTCGGCGGCGGCGGCGGCGGCGCCTTCCTGAGTTCCACGCCCTCACTGCCACAAGAGAGCGCGCGGCATAGCAGGGAGCGCCGTGCGGCAGCCAGGATGGGCGGGAGCCCGGGCCCTGGCCCCGGGCAGAGCTGGGACATGAGAGACACCACACCAGCAAGTTCGCCCAGATGGAAAGGACCGCGGCGGCACTGGCGGCGGCGACGGCACTGGCGGCGGCGGCAACGGCAGCGACGATGCCGACGACGTCGACGACGTCGGCAGCGCCGACGACGACGACGACGACGACGACGACGACGACGACGACGACGACGACGACGACGGCGAGGCCGGCGCGCGCGTGGCCTCTGGCGGCGGGCAGAAAAGTGCTCTGCTGTGTCTCATTTTTCTGGGCCTCCTCGGGGGCTCTCGTCGCCGTGGCCAGTGCCACCGCGGGACTTTTTGTCAGGACGCGCTGGGCGCGGCGGGGCCGCGTTTGAGGGGGGATGCCCCACATCTCCAGGCGCCCTGGACAAACAGCTTGCCGGGCAATGCTCCCCAAATTGGGGCCTCTGGGGGGTGGTTGGGCCGTCCAGAGCCCTAGTTGAGAGATGGCCAGCGACGGAAGCCGGCCCCGGGGGATGGGGTCGAGCCCTGGGGGCCCACGCCTTGGAACAAGTCATGACGTCCGCGGAGGTCTGTGGAGAGGCCGACAGGGACTACCAGGGTTGGGTCGGGCGTGTCCCCCTACAGGCGGGCTGTGGGCGAAAATCCGAATGCGCCGACATCGCAGGGGCGTGGTCGCCATTCTTGAGGTCAATTTTGACGCGGGTCGTAGGGTTGGGTCGAGCGTGTCCTCCTACCGGCGGGTCCTGGGCGAAAAGGAAACAACTGGCCCCACAAATCCAAAAGTAGCCACAAATACTTGAAAAATAGTTCCCAGACTATTTTGTTGAGACTAATTTTTCGGGGATGGACAGACCTCCCTTTAGTAAAACGTGATTCAGTGAAAACGACCTGAAGCCCAAAACCTGGCGGGCGCAAGACTGGAAAATGACGGCCGCGGCGCCCTCTCGAGAACCGGAAACGGACAATTCACTAATCGACGTGTCACTGTGAGGGGTTCTGTCCACCCCCGAATGGTGCCTCCGGCGAAGGGCCGCTCCCGCGCGAGGCCCGACGGGAAGCGAGGCGGTCTCTCGGCCGTGGGAGCCCCTCGGCCGGGGCGCACAGGTCCGCAGCAAAAGAGTGCCGAGGCGGTGGGGGCCCTAACGGCTGGAGGGTGCGGCAGCGGAGCGCCGTCGTGGGCCAAAACGACTACGGAGAAGAAGCAGGAGGAGCAGGAGGAGCAAGAGGAGCAGGAGGAGGAGGAGGAGGAGGAGGAGGAGGAGGAGGAGGTAGGAGGGGAGGAGGAGGAGGAGTGAGGATGAGGAGGGAGGGGAGGGGAGGAGGGAGGAGGAGGAGAGGAGGAGGAGGAGGAGGAGGAGGAGGAGGAGGAGGAGGAGGAGGAGGAGGGGAGAGCGGAGAGGGGAGGAAGGGAGCGGAGAGCGGAGGAGGACAAGCTGGGTGCGCTCGTGCCATGTCTGGCATCCTGCCCCTTCCCAGTCATCCCTTCCCATTGTTCAATTTTCTATCTATCCGCGGACGCGTCTCATAGCGGATCTGAAACTCCAAAAAATACCCCGTCGTGTCGTGCGCAATCGGAAAAGGTGAGCTCCGCACGTAGGAGGAGTCGGAGCAGGATGAGGATGAGGAGGGAGGAGGAAGGAGGAGGCGGATGAGGAGGCGGATGAGCAGGAGAGAAACAAAGTGGGAGATGACGAAGGAGAAGGACGTGGACGAACAGCAGCAGCAGGGACTGGAGTGGAGGGCTCGGGAGGAGCAGGAGGACCAGGGAAAGGCGGACGATGGGAGAGGATGAGGGGCGACAAGGACGAGGACGGACAAGGATCCAGAAAAAGTGGCCGGCGCTGGGGCCTGAACGCCCGGCTGCACGACGGGAGCACAGCCGCGATCCTAAAATGAGACCCAGGCTGCAGCGGGAACACCATTTTGGAAGGACCGAGAGAGCGTTTGGATGAGACACGAGAGTGGGAAAACCAAGCGGTACCAATACCGTTACTCCCCGGACCTCTCTCCGGGTGCGTTCCGACCAAGAATGTCGAGGCGAATCCAGCGGTGGCGACGAGGGCCTCCCAGGAGGCCCAAACAAGGGACAACGAGGGAAGGGTAGAGGTCCGGGTACCTCTTCCTCCTCTGAAAGGCAACATGAAAAACTTCTCAGACCCATCCTGTGCGTGTGGGGGAAGGTGGCAACGAGCCCGGAGGGGGGTGTGCGGCCCTCAGCGCGTCTTCGGGGGAGAGGGCAAAATGGTATTCAAATGTAGTGTACCTTGTCAATGAGACGGGGCCGGACGAGGGGGGATGAGCGCAAAAGTGTTTCTCCCAATCTTGCCCTCCATCTGTCCACAGGGGCGTCCCTCCTAGCTCGAGGGCGATGGCATCCTGCGCCCGTGCAAATCCTGCTATCTGGAGAGGACGACTACGAGAAATCAAGAGGGATGAGGAGGCTGAGGTCTGCTTCATCAGTCCTCGCCCGACGCCTGCACCCGCCGATCACCCAGCAGGTTGAATCGCAGGAAGAGAGAGAGAGAGAGAGAGAGAGAGCGAGAGAGAGCGAGAGAGAGCGAGAGAGAGAGAGAGAGCGAGAGAGAGAGAGCGAGAGAGAGCGCGAGAGAGAGAGCACGCACATATTTGAGCATGCCGTGACGGGGAACGGGCAAGAGGGGAAGGATATGATAAGATGCGGAGCACAAGGAGGAGGAATAGGAGAAGGATCTCGGGGGAGGAGGAAGAGGAGGAAGATGAACAAGGGAGGAAGAGAAAACGGTGCGGTTCGCAAAGGCTGCGCACGTTCTGGCTGTTGGGCCGGGACTGCGAATGGTGGCCTACCTCGGCACTCACCTACGCGCGTTTTACTCTCTCGCGGCCGACTGGCCGTCAGGAAGGACTCGGCTGGATGCTGGAAACACTTTCGTGATAGATACGCACACCAATGCTATTCTGAGCAGTCTCGCGAGAAGGTGGAGGAGGGCCGAGTATCTTTAAGGAAACGGAGATACGCATATAACATGAAAGAATTGGCCAACATTCCTGAATGTAGAACTTACGTGTGTCAACCCGTGGCGCCTTCCACAACTGCATTGGAAACGCCACTTCAAATATTGCCCCCTCGGTAATAAACTGACAACCGTGCTGCCGACAACCTGAAGTGGACGTTGCCGTCGGGCTGGCCATCCGCCATTAGGCTACAAAGCGGCGTCACCGTTGGAATGGCACTGGTCCTTGGAGTGGTAATCCGCGGAACCGTCTGAATGTGAGGCGTCGGTGCCGTCGGAGCCTACGCTGTCGGACAGGCAACAATCGTTTCCAAGGCCGTGGCAGTGATCACCCTAAGCGTTACAAGCGTTGCCGTTACACCAGCATTCGGCGCTGGCGTTGCAGCCGCAACTATGCTGTGGTGTCGTCGTCCTCGATGTGCTGCAGGTCTCGCATGCCGTAGTCGTAGTCGTAATATACGTATAGGAAGCTGTAGCTGTAGGGCTCACAACTACAATAATTACTGCTGTCGTCGCGGCGGTGGAGACGCTGGTAGCGGAACAGATGGTATTGGAGCCCGTTGCGGATCAAGGGGAGGAGGAAGAGGAGAAGGGACGATGCGGGCGAGAAGGGGTGGGGGGGAAGGGGCAAGGAGGGGGGAGTAGGAGAGGTGGGGAGGGGAAGGATCAAGGGAAAAGAGGAGAGGGGGAAGGAAGCGGGGGGGGAAGGACACAAGGAGGAGAGGGTGGAGCACTGGGACGGAGAGGAGAAACGAGCAGGAAAAGAATAAGGAAACAGGCCGAGGAGAACCGCGGGAGGAAGCTAAGCAAAAACGCGGAGCGCTGCGGCGAAGGCCTGACAGCTGCAACAAAAACGCGCTGGGCGGGCAAGTTGGCCCCTGGCTGGGGGCAACGCATCGCCAGCCGCGCGCGCGGAAAAGCGGCCCGCCGCCGGGGTGTCCTAGAGCGGATCAGGAGCGGGAGAAGGAGGAAGAGAAGGAGGAGGAGGAGGAGGAGGAGGAGGAGGAGGAGGAGGTGTCGGGAGCAGGATGAGCAGGGCGGGGGGAGGAGGACGAGGAGGAGACCGAGGATGAGGAGGATGGATAGGATGAGGTTGAGCATGATGAAGATGATGCTGCTGAGGACGATGATGACGCTGATGCTGATGATGATGTTGATGCTGATGCTGATGATGATGATGATCGTGAAGCTAATGATGATGATGAGGAGGAAGATGCTGAAGATGAAGATGGTGGTGATGATGCTGATGATGAAGATGATGATGTTGATGATGATGATGATGCTGATGATGATGATGATGATGTTGATGGTGAAGCTGATGAGGATGATGATGAGGAGGATGAGGATGAGGAGGAAGATGCTGGACATGAAGATGGTGGTGATGATGCTGATTATGATGATGATGATGGTGATGATGATGATGCTGATGATGATGCTGCTGCTGATGATGATGATGATGATGGTGGAGTTGTTGATGGTCGTGGTGGTGGTAGTGGTGGTGGTGATGGTGGTGATGATGAGCAGGAGGAGGAGGAGCAGGAGCGAGAACAATTACTGGGAATGGGGGCAGAACGGAAAGGAGCAGCAGGCCCTTCGAGCAACCGCGCCGGGTGCCACGCTCTGCGTGTGGGGCGGAGGTCTGCCTACAGCCCCTCGCCTCTCCTTTTGAGAAGCCACGCCCAGGCTCAAGCCCACTCCTGCAACTCCCTCCCCTAGGCCGACCCCTCTGATCCCGAGGCCACGCCATCCCTCCCACCGCGCCTCCCCTCCCACCCCGAGGGCCGATGAAGGGGGGGGGGGAACGTGCACCTTTTGTGCCTCTCTTGGGCCCCAGGGGGCCCCTTGAAGACATGCAAAAGGTGCACCTGTGTTTCACCCTCCAACGGATCTCCTCCCCACGACGCCACGTCCGAGGCGAGGGCCTTGGCTCAGCTGCCGGGCCGCGCCCCGCGCGCGGACATGGGCGGCAGCCCGGCGTCCGGTGGCCAGTGCTCGCGCGCCCTGCCGGCGAAGCCCCACACGAGCCCGAGGCCCCGCGCGGCCGGCTGTGCGCCGCTGCCGAGCCTGCGGCCGCCCGCGCCGCCCGCGCCGCCGGCGGTGGCACAACGGCCCCCCGCGCCGGCGCCGCCGCCGGGCTGCCGCCCTCCGCTGGCCGCGTCCGCGGCGCTCGCGCAGCGGGGGCGCGCGCTGCCCTCCGCGGTGGCGGCGCGGGCCGCCGGGGGGGCGCGGCTCGCGACGTCGCGCGGCGTCGCCGCCCGCGCGCCCGCGCTCGGGAGGGCGCGGGGCGTGGCCTCGCGCGGCGTGGCTGCCCGCGCGCCCGCGCTCGGGAGGGCGCGGGGCGTGGCCCCGCGCGGCGTTGCCGGCCGCGCCGCCGCGCTGCCCGAGGGGCGCGCCGCGCTCGTGTCCGAGGGGGCGGCGCCGCGATTCGAGGCGTGCCAGGCCGGCCTCGGGGTGCGGCCACCAGCTGTCCCGGGGCCAGGGTCGGCCGCGCACAGGCACTCGGCCAGCTCCACGGCCGTCAGCGTCCTGGTGCCGGCGAGCTCGGCGAAGGTGAGCTCCCCGGGGTCGCGCCGCGTGGTGAAGATGTGGGCGACGTGCCTCTCGGACCAGAGCGGTTCCTTTGCGCGCGGCGTGAGGAGCATGCGCGTCTGAGCGGAGCTGTTGTGCCACGAGTGGGCCAAACCTCGTGCAAAATACGGGCCGCTGGAGTACGGGTTCACGAAGCGGCACCGCGCGTGCAGATCGTCGGTGATGCTGAGCTCAGGGCGGTCGACGACGCTCTGCATCTCCTTCTGTACCCGCTGCGCCCATGCCCGAGACTCCAAGTGGCCCACCATTTGCCGCGGTTCCGACCGAAGTCCGGAGGATTCACGGAAGAGGCGGGGTAGAAGCTGCGTCCCGAGCCGGCCCACGCGGGCACGCGCCAAGGGCGCAATCCCCCTGAGCACACATGTATGCATACGGGTTGGGAAGGACGGGGGGAGGACAATCGCCTGAGTCACCGCGCGCGCGACCCAGAACAACAAATATTCGACCGGAGTACCCGATATGAGGATATTAAGGGCTTAGCGGGATCAGCGGGGTGCAATCATACCAGCGCACAAGAAAGGCCTATGATATTCAGGAGTAAGCATGGAAAGGGCAGACGAAGGCGAGGAGGGGAAGCAGCAGGGAGGAAAAGGACGGCTGTTCAGGATGCACTCCCCCTTTTTCGAATTATAGGGGCCTCTGAGGCCCTAGTATGGCTCCAAGATGGGCCACGAGAGCTCGCAGAGGGCTTGAAGAGGGCCCCAAGACGTTCCCAAGAGCGCCCAAGAGTGCCCAAAGACTCAGGCGGTACCTCACGTGTGAATAGTATTGTGTTCGGGCACCATGCCCGCTGAAGCTGTGCCTTCTTGGAGGGGTGAAAAGGGCACGAAACCTTGTTCGCAATGATTATGGTGCTGTGATGCCCTGCCGGCTGTGGAGGGCCCCCTCCCCCGTGGAAGGGTGGGAGGGGCACAACACCTGGTAAATCGTGTTGGGTACTCGTTTTGAATAGAGCAGTGTGGTCGCCCCGTCCTCCTTCTCCTCCTCCCCTCTCCTCCCCTCCTCCTCTCCTGTCTCCTGTGTTCCCCTCTCCTCTTCTTTCGTGCCGTCGGGCTGCGATCTGCAAAACTGTCGCCACTTTCGTGGGCTCCTGGGAGGCCCAGCGGAGGTACGTCCAACGCGGACCACCTCGAGACCTCGCCGCCCCCTTGGGGGGCTTGCCGTCTGCGCAACTGTCGCCACTTTCGTGGGCTCCTGGGAGGCCCAGCGGAGGTACGTCCAACGCGCACCTCGAGACCTCGCCGCCCCCTGGGGGGCTTGCCGTCTGCGCAACTGTCGCCACTTTCGTGGGCTCCTGGGAGGCCCAGCGGAGGTACGTCCAACGCGGACCACCTCGGGACCTCGCCGCCCCGTGGGGGGCTTGCATTGAGCGGTCCTGAATTTAATCGCCACGTGTGTAGAAAGGGTTGGGTACGTCGCAAGCTAATTTTCGAATGCGCTGCCCGCCCTGGCGGGGCCTCCCAGGACGGGTGGGAAGGGCATGAGGCCTTGCAAGTATGGTGTTCGGGAAACCCTGCGCGCTCTGGCGGTGCCTCCCT